TGTGCTTGTTATTTATATAGATGTAAAAAATGTTTATACAAGACTCTTTTGGTTAGCATAATTAAATATGCACTAAATATAATGAGATAAAACTTCAGCAGCAGTAAAAATAAAGTAATAAGCTTTACAGAAACTGAGCCCAGGCAGTCAACATATATTTCTGTTATAGCTAACGCTACATTGCCTCAGTTCTGTTTTGTGCACTTCACTTTTTTTTTCACATTTTAATGTTTTTATAGGAAAATAATTTTATGTGCTTATTTTGTATAAAGACTGAATAGCTAAGCAAGATATATTAAAATATCAAAAGATTTACCTGCATTTCATATGTAGAGCTTAGTTGTGCTTAGAGACTAGTACCTGAGCACTCACATTCACTTTTTACATACAAAACCACTGCATTTCCAAAAACTTCTGTAGAGTTCTTAATTTACAGCTAAAATCCACAGCTGATGTAAAACTAAAATCTAGAGGTAAGGAAACCCACGTCAAACTTCTGATTTCAGTGGACTTGAGGTCTGAAGGCCATCACTGAAAGCAGAATTTAGGCTGAGGTTTCTAAAGGACTGTCAATACCTCTATAATGGGACATTCAGTGTCCTAGAAGTGAATTAGGAGCGTGAATAGACTGACATCAGAAGAAAATCAAAAGACTTTTTTTAAGATGTGGGATACTCAGAGTCATGCTGGCTAATTCAGAGCCCTCAACAACAGCAGAAATTAAGTCCTGGTATTGCAGACCACAGGTTGACATATTCACTTTTCTGCGGTCACTTCTATTGATCTCCATTGGAAATTGTCTTCCCCAACATACCACATTTTCCAAAAACACGACAGACATGTTTCACCCCTCTGCAAACCCTCTGTGCCAGCCAGGCAGGGAGAAAAGGGAGACTTTCTTCTCACTCTATGTTAACTGTGCTGCAAACAGCACTATGCTAATTAAATGATAGCAGCCTGACAGAAGAGATTATATGTGATCCCACCATTAATTAGTCGTTATTCCTTCCTGCGTTGGAAGAGTTCAGTGTAATCACATCAGTGATCTCACGGCCACACAACCTACTGTGATGGGCATACCCTTTACATTGAGGAGCCAAGAGTGGCAAACCTCCAAGCCAGGTTAAAACAGAGGGTCTTGGGATTTTAAACCTGGGAACCTGAAGTTGAAGCTGAACAGCTCAGAGAGTTAAGGTCAAATCTGCTTTTTCTTTTTTCCCTGGCTCCTTGTGAGCACAGGTTGTGCTTATCCCCTTTAATTTGTTTCTTTACGGGTAAAAAACTGCCACAGTAATGCAAGGGCATACTTGCATAATGTGCTGATAGGTATTATGTGCGTTCATAGAGGGCCTATCACAGTGGCATCTGCAGGGAGCAGGACGTAGGCAACCAGCTAGCATCAGTCCATGGAAACAGATGTTTACCATTCCCTGCCTTTCTCAGCTGAACAAAGACAATGTTGCTGATAGGGATACAGTGGGTTGGTCCCAGAATACTGTTTGGTGGAATGGCTGCCCCACTGCACATCTGGATCACTCCCGCACATTGAGATCCTGTTATGATTCCCAAAGCCTTTGGGGAAATGAATGGGTCGGTACCGTTTGCTCTACTTTTGCAAAGGACTAGCTGGTACAGGAAGGGGAAAGGGGAGTACAGGGAACTTGGCTTTCATCCCTCGTCCATGAGGAGGTCTCCTGCAGAGCCCTGGGCCCCATGCCTGCCACAGCTAGGTTGTGGAAACCCTCCACTGCTCAGTCCCAGGACTGTATGAGTTTGGAAACTCATTGTAATGGGAATTACAGGAGAAGGTAAGAAACCTGTGAATTTTCTATGATGGTAGGAGATGGGGGAGAGATTACCAGCCCACAGCAGGTGACCTCTCATCCCAACAGGTATTCCAGTTTTCAACAGTTCATGCTTCCCTTCACATATACCAGGTCAAGTGCATCCTTGCTGGGTGCGGCAGTCCTTGGGGAGGCTGTAGGGAGCTCCTCCAGGCATGGGAGGGATTTTCTGGCTGTTTAGGCTGAAGCGTTGTTTGTTTGCTGGCATGTCACCTACAATCGCTGCCCTGCTTGCTCTATGCTGGTAATCTGAGAACCTTTCTCTGCTTGAGTGAACTGAACTTGCGCCATGTGCAACACAAGGCATGTCTTAAGCCTCATACTGGCTTCTTTCCGTTCTTCTGCTCCTTTCAGATGATGTCACTGCATGGTGGGTGCTAGAGACAGACTAAGGGACAGAGCTCATGAACGTGATGCTCAGAAAGACAGCTTATGTCCACCTACAAATTTGCATAATCACACATAAAAGGTACACCATGTCCTACCCAGGAAGGGAATTAAATTAAACCTGTGGCGTTGCTGAACTGTCTCAGAATTTCAGCAGTAATTATGAATACTGCAAGCTCTTTTGATGCCTTCTGTGAAAAGTCCAGATATCTTTTTAGACTCAGCAAGCAATGGCTTACCAGCAAAAGCACACATGAATATCATGAACAAAAGTGTCCATAACCATATGGATAACTTAGGAATAAAATATAACTCTGAATCATACAGTTATTTGTAGTCAGATCATTCAAGTCACTTTGTACAACCAATTATTAAGATACAGTAAATACAAGAAATGAGTGGAGAAAAGAAGTGAAAGTTTCTAATCCAAGATCATGCGTATGTCTGCTTTGATTTTTGTTTCTCAAGTACATAAAACCCAAAAGCATCTGTCATGGCCAGAGGGAAGTTTAACTGGTTTAGCACATGTTGTTACCTTGAGTTATTTAATGCAATAGGGACCTGATGGCGGAGCTACTTTAAAACTTCTGGGCAGAGACACAGGTAAACGGGACTGATCTGGCTCTGCTGGGGCAGATCTCAGAACCCAGCATGTACTAGATTTGAAGAACAAGTAGTAAGAACAGAGAAAAGACAATACCATTTCAACCCTATTACTCCATCTTTTTCTTCTTTTCTTTTTCTCAGCATAGTAAAAATGTAAACAAAATAAGTAGTCTGAGGAGCATTTGAGGCTGTCAATTCAGGTTCAGTAAATACTGCTGTGTCACTGCCAGGTTTAAAGCTGACATTGTTTCTCCCGTGTTTTTTGGGAGATGGAAAAAAAACCCTTAATAATGTAGTCTTAAAACTGAAAGTAACCTGCAGGCTGAGGAGCTTCCTGACCCACCCTCTAGGAAGGAGAAACACCAAAGATTTTAGGTGAACTTTTCAATGGCAATTGTTCTCCCATCCTTTTTTTCAGCAAAACAGTATGGAAATTTCTATACAAGAACACACAACTCACAATAAATCAATTCCAGAATGGTTATCAAGATGAAGTTTCAGACTTAAAAACAAATGCCAGAACAAAAAGAGTAACAAATACAGAGATTCAGGCCTGCAAGAAGTGTATGTTAAGATGGGATTTACCCATCACTTACTGGTTCCCCAGCAGAAGGAAGGTTCCAGCTGCAAATGCTGGAGGAATATATCACATACAAAGGATAAAGGGTGCAGGGAAGAACAAGGACAAGACCAAGACAAGGTAGGAGCAGAAGAGGGAAGAAAGCAGAGAGGACTTGGGGGGTCATTCAAAGGTTGGACTGATTGTACAGAGACAGGGGGAACCACTGATTTGGGTGGCAGTGACTGGTCTGGATTTAGATGAAGCCAGGAAGCTGCAGGTGATTTGACTGTGTGGTCTGTGATTGCTTCGATGTAGGGAGGGACATGCTGCCCACACTCAACTGCTAAGCTGGGGTCAAGTACATCAAAAGGAGGAGGGAGCTAGGGCAGAGGAGGCAGAAGGGCTGGAGGGACAGGGCTGAGCAGAGAGGGGCAGGGTTTCTGGCCATGGAGGAAGCAAAGAAACATCTCCAGGCTGGGATGAGATGGTGGAAACAAAGGGGAAAACAAACGAGTATCTTTGAATAGCATCTGAACTCTCAAAACTGGCTAAAGGATGACATGGGCATCCCCAAGTTTATTAGCTCAAGAGGGCTGGATAGAGAGGTGCCAATAAATGTGCCAACCCATGTGCAGAGGTAAGACAAATGAAAATCATGGTTTTTCAGAGCTCAGCAAGAGCACTGTCAGGGGTATTAACACATATTGGTACAAAGACCAAACCCAGGGAAGCTTTGGAGGAACTCTGGAAGGCCTGCTCTCACTCTAAAGAGGGATGACCAGACAGGTTATATGGTGGTGATAGGCTGCCCCAGACATCTCCTGAGGTGTCACTTCTGAGGTCAGTGTTGGTCCACCCTGTGGTGGGCATAGGGACATGAAAGGTACTCTGGGTTTCATAAGTTCCTACGGTCAGAGTAATGTCAGGTTTCCACAATAAAATAAAGGGCATTTTGAAGGGTGTGAGAGCAACCACTGCAACTGGTTTAGAAAGAGACATTTCTGTTATGAAAGTGGGCAGGGGGACTCCTGAATCTCTTCATGGTCTTTACCTATCATGCATACGAGAAAGTAGAGGACATTGTGCAGTGAATCAGGGGCTTCAGTAGGTTATCCCAACCAGACCCATGCAAGTATGGGCTGGGCAGCTTGGATTTAGCTGTGAACCCAATCTCTGGCCTCTTATTGTAATGCCAAAATCATGTCAGCTTAGGAGCCCTTGGCCCATGTTCACTGTCCTTATAACCTATCTTAGAAATATGCACAAGCAGCACTATGAGTTGGGTGGCTTGGCTGACAAGATGGACCCTAGGCCGGTTAAATCTGACAGGATCTTGCTGATGTGGATGGGAGAAAGGAGCAATCAGACATGGGGAAACACAAGGTTGATAGGTAAAGTTATAAAAGACTGGGCCATATTTCATTGTGCGCAGTATTTAAAAAATATGGTCCTATGTTTAATGTTAATGGAAACCATCATTCATGCATCATTGCCATAGGAACATTTCTATTAACATTAAACATACTTCGATACCAGTAAATCTTACTGGCTGGCAGAGGAAAGTTACAACGTGTGTAATTTTGCTCTTTGTTTTCTCTTACCATGTGTAGGTGTCTGGGTGGCACTGTTTAGTATCAGGTGATTATAATTTTGTTCTTGGTCATCTGAAATTCACAGAAAAAAGAAATCCTTTTAAGAAACAGCTTAGCATACCCACTGATCTGCAGATGATAATTACAGCTCACAGTATTCACAGGAAATCTCAGCATGATTAAAAAAAGGAGAAGAAAATGCTTAAGAAAGCAGAAGATTCTGTTATGTAGTTCACTTAAAATTCCAGATGCAAGAAGAATACGATAATGGGAAGCTGCTCCCCTTCTGCTGAGCCTGCAAATTAGAGTTATTTGCAAAGGTAAGAAGCATGTCCAGACAGGAAGAAACCACAACTGGTATACCGACATCGGTGGTGTGTTCCTGGGAACTGCTGGAATCTTGCAGCCCTTACTCCACTGCTCCATCTCCATCCAACATGGAGGTTTTCAGGACAGTAGCCCCAACTACATAAAAAACACTCTCCCACTGTGACCGCAACCACAACAACAATGTCCTGTGTGAGTACAGGGAAAGATCAAATAAGTGGCCTCATAAACACAGGAGGTAGAGTTAAATAGGTGCACATGGACTGTAGATCTCCCTCCCCTGAGAAATGAAAATCCTGCAAGACCTCATGCATTCAGTATTAAATGCATCATGCTGCAAAGTAGGAGGAACAATCAATGGCAGGATGACTGCTACCATTGAGGTTAGTACCTACCCTTTGGGCTGGAAAATGACTTTCTCTCTTTCTCACTGTAATAAACCATTAAATAAGTGACTGCTGATAAACTGTCATTTTTAGTTTCCAGACAAGTCTTCAATAAGGAATGAATTCTTTGTCTGGATCTTTACAACCCATTATGGCACTGTAGTAAAGTAGGGTGAGATGAGATTTCAAGAAATCTTCTTGCATCTCATGCTCTCCTGGTGCAGGATCGGCTAGTCTGATGTCTAGTCTGCTATTCTTAATAACCTATCATTGATATTTCACTTTCTCCCCAGATCTGTTTCATTAGGTCTTTCTTACTGCTTTTTAGGCCAATTTCTTCTTTCCTGTCTACCAGGGACATGGAGAAAATCCCTCTTATTTCTGCAATATCTCTTTACAACAAAGCTGTTACAACTACAGCTGTTACTGTCCCTTAACTTTATTCTTCAAGTTAAACAATGCCATTTCCTTTATGTTTCCCTATAAAACTTGCTTTGCCTTTGATTATTGTCATTCTAGCATCCTGTGCTCTCTCTGATTGACCTAGATCCTTCTCAAGTCTGGAATACAGTCTGGGACATGTTTCTGAGAAGAGACCTTACAAGTACAGAGTGGAGTGGCTGGATTTTTCCCAGTCATCTACTCTTGTTCACACAAACTTGCACGATATTTTTTTTTCCTGGTTCATGTCGAGTATGTGATCCTTTATGATTCCTTATTTCTTTTCCAAAGAACTGCTACCTGTCCAATTGTTCTTCAACACATACAAGGCTTTTTAGTATTCCTGTTTCAGTCCAATGTGTAGCATTTTTCTCCATTTAATCAACTTATTCTCAGTCTATTTCTGCAATTTTTCAGGAACATTTTATATTCTAATCCCATCCTCTAATAGACTTACGGTCATCCAAACTTCGTATCATCTGCAAAATTAATAAGCAAATTCCTTTTCCACCAGTAACAAAAAGACTAAATGCAGAACCACATCAGTTCATCCTTTTACTGATAATTTAGTTACCTTTTTGGTTAGTCAGCCATTATGGTACCTACCCCATAGAGGTTCATTAAGAGCATGCTTCTCAAACTAGTCTTGCATTACTTTCCCAGAAACTGCTGAAAATCTTGCTAAGGGCATGATCTTTAATATAAGCTATTTCTCCCTAGCCACAAAACACAGTAAAAAATAAAAATAAGATTAGCTTGACATGATTTGTTTCTGAGAAGTCCATGTTGGTTGCTATTTTATCTCACTGGAAACTCATGTCCCTGCACAGTATGTTGAATGTCTGTGCACAGCCAGGATTAAAATCTGAGGTTATGTATTTGGATGACAACAGACTGGACACCTTAGCTTACATCTCCATCTACAAAACAGGCACTCATTGTATACACAGGCAGCTGAAAACAGAGAAAGGAATTAGCCTGGCTACCAGTCTTTGATGAGCAAACCTTGAAAGGAGATCAGGTTCACGTAGACTCCTGAAGTGCCCTTGAATAAGTGGCCTACAAATCACCTAAGTTAGAATATTCCTTTCAATCCTCCACTGCTGGTTACTTTTAGCAAGCAAAAATACTACAGTAACTACTTTTGTAATTTTACTTCAGTTTCTGTTCCTCCATATAGTCTAATTTCACTTTAACATGAAAACTGGACTGGAGGATGGGTGGGACAAATAAGAAACTGGATATTTCTGGAATCGCTGTAACTGTCCAGAGGGACTTTCAGAGTTATGGGATCAGATGGGACACTTTTCATCTAGTTTGCAGTAAGCATGATACAGAATCCTGCTCACTAATTTCTGCATCAGGTTTTAACTGTTTCTGGAGTTCAAACAGATCTTCTCAGTAATATGATTTTAAAAGACTGTATATGATGGTAAGTCTGATACATGTCTAAAAGAACTAGCTGCAGTATTTTTAGTCTTTATTACCCAAACCCACAATATACTTTAGGTCTTAACTGAATAATCTATTAGATCTTTCATATTTTCTGGTGGGACTAAGAAAACAATTTACTACTAGAAAACTCTTCCACATGTAGATGTTTCTAGATCATGAGGCTTGTCAAGCATCAACTTGATTATTCTCTTAGATAATCTAAGTATTTTGTGCTTCTGAAAAGCTGTGGGGCCAAGGTCTGGGCCAGTATGTATACACTTAATCAGATTTGGTTCATGACATCATTGTCAAGCAGAAATGTGTTTTGAATATTAATATCAATATTGAATATTGACTGGTGTTTAATCATTGTAGCGAGCAACAGGACTGCCAGACACACAGCTTTGGAGCAGTCTCTTCTATGCAAAATTTTTAGTGGTTTTTTTTTGGTTGCAAAGGCAGCTGTTATGTACAGTGTACATTAGGGGCATCTATGTCCTGAGAACAACTGTTTCTCTCTTATGGCTGGTTTTCTGTTATCAAATTCATAAAAATACAGAATCACTGAGGCTGGAGGCACCTCTGGAAATCATCTAGTCCAACCTCCCTCACAATGCAGGATCAGGTAGAGCAGTCGCCCAGGACCATGTTCATTAGAGTTTTGAATATCTCCAAGGATGGAGACTCAAATCCTCTCTGCAAATCCTCTTCCAGTGTTCAACCACCCTCACAGTAAGAAAGTTTCTTCTTATGTTTAAGTGGAATTTTCTGTATTAAAATTTGTGCTCATTACCACTTGCCCTGTCACTGGGCACCACTGAGAAGAGCCTGGTTCTATCTTCTTTACTTACCCATCAGTTATTTACATATATTGATGAGATTCCCCTGAGCCTTCTCTTCTCCAGGCTGAGACGTATCAGCCTCTCCCATTACAACAGATGCTGCAGTCCCTTAAACATCTCCTTGGCCCTTTGCTGGACCCACTCGAGTTTGTCTGTGTCTCTCCTGTACTGGGGAGCCCATCCCTTGTCCCAGCACTACAGATGATTCTCACCAGTACTGAGCAGAGGGAAAGGATCACTTCCCTTGACCTTCTAGCAACACTCCTCCAAATGCAGTCCAGGATGCTGGTGGCCTTCTTTGCCACAAGGGTGCATTGCTAGCTCATGATCAGTTTGGTGTCCATCACCTATTTTATCGGTTATTTTACCCACCATTCATTACCTTATTTATAAGTTATTAAATCTGTTTTTGAAAGTTGCAAACTAGGTAGTAAGCAATGAGCCTGTTGTATTTTTTTGATGACCTCTCCTTGACATCTGCAGCTGATAAGTTCATTGAGCATGACTAAATTGCTATACAGCCACTTCTCTCCTGAAAGCCTTAGAAAGTAAGATATTTCCCCAGGAGGTCTCCATCCTTCCACATGCTTTGTATAGTAGCCTGTTGTTCCTATGCTAGTCCCTCTGGGTTTCAGCCAGGTGTAAGGCTGCGGTCATACGGGGTAGCTAAGGACAGCGAGGACTTCCAGCCTGGCTATAGCAAAGCTAATTTACGAATCAAATTGCAGAAAACATCCAAACATCCAAACTGTTTGTCCTCTTCTCAACTAATGTTGCTTACACACTACAGGAGCTGACAGATAAAAGGTTACACAGAGATGGAGACACTTGTGTGTGTGAAATGCAAGCATTTAAGACAGTAGCAGACATAAATTGAACACATCAATTGTTCCAGAAGGGAAACAAGAGGTTTCTCTCTCTGGAAAACACAGAGTACTCCAATGCAGTCACTTACTCTCACAACCTCACTCCTGGGTCAAAGTGTGTCTTCATGGAGGACAATTACACTTGCATCTACGTAAGTGTCCTGAAACCAGGACAATAAGTAGGAACTATTGTCTTCTGATTCTGATCAGCTTTCCATTTCACCCCATATACTTTCTCTTTTCCCTTCCCTTCCCTTCCCTTCCCTTCCCTTCCCTTCCCTTTTTTTTGCCTCTAAAAACCTCAGGTGCTTTGAGGCTACTGCTTAAGAAATGGCATCCAAAATATAGTCAGACCTTGAATTATTGGCATTTTCACATGGCTGAGCTAATCAGACATCTCAATGCAGCACTGGGCTTCATTTACCACTTCTGTAGCCTATTGTAAACACTTTCTAAGCAATAAAATGCTTTAAAATGATGGCTGAGCCTTCCTGCACCTCTTCAGGTTTAACAAGATAATGCTGTTAATTGTGAAGTGCCAGTTAGGCAGAAGCATATCTATCGTTGAGACAAGGATCTGAGTTCAAAGCTATTTACTAGGAAACTCCATTAGGGAAATAAAGGATTCACAGTGCTCTGAATTGCCAGACCACAATACAAAATATCTAAGCACAGCTGGAGGAGTGATCAGATACAATAACCAGCAGAAAGAATGAGACATTTTACTGGCAGAAGGGAAACCAGTGCTCCCAGACCCTTTGCAATCTGGGAGAAGA